AACAAGAAACTTTCAGACGTTCATCCAAGTTATATAGATGCTCGTCCTCAGGGTCTTTGGCCCAGTAGAGCTAGATGGTGATCCATGGATTCCGTTAGGGATACACAATGTAGGCTGCGTAGAGCCCCGCCCTTACACTTATCTGGATCCAGAACTCAAGGTCAAGGGGACGCTCGTCTAGACCCAATGACGGGAAACCAAGGTATTGACGGGAAGCGCGTTTAATGCGGTAGATTTGGTGGTTGGAAAGCTAGCCACTCACAACCTCCACATCATAAACATCATGTACCGCTTGGTAGTATATATAGTACTCCATCCGTCCCACTAACAATGGGACAAGAGGAAGTGACATACAAATTAATAAAAAGTGGTGTATGTGATTAATATTGAATTGATAAAGTAACAATAAAGTAAGAATGATTTAGAACCACACAAATTTTATCAAATTTGGTATGATACAATCTTAGTGGAACAGACCGAAAATGTAAAATAGAACAATCTTAGCGGGACGGAGGTAATGACATTTATTTCATGTAAAGGGTTGACAATGTATACTCCATAGCAATATCAATTATCCCCCATCTTCCTATCTCAGATGATGATCGGCTTAGCGGGCTAGTAGTGAAGTGTGTTGTGATAGACTTTTATTATTTTTGAATAAGACACGGCCCACTTATTAAATATCTCTTCTTGCTTGCCATTTATTGCTTGTGCTTACTCATCACTCATAATTCACTAAATACTCTACTCGAAACCCAAAGGAAGGTGTTGAACGATTGGTTCTTTGGAATTGAAGGAATAAACCTTAACAATATTTTTAATTAAAGATTGTTATAGAAAACAAATGAAGAGTATAATTACACTTACCCTACACTCATGGGTGTCAACTCTTCATTTAATTAAAACTCCACCACATCTAATTGAAAAAAAGATCAACCCATTTTATAGACAACAAATGAAGAGTATAATTACACTTATCCCACACTAATGGGTGTCGACTCTTCATTTAATTAGAACTCTACCACATCTAATTGAATAGATCTTATCCGGGGTCATGTCGAAAACTTCAGCCATGTTTGAGAATGAATATCCTGCAAGCTTCCACTATTGTTTATATTTAGTACTCCGTAATATAAAGCATGTTAAATTCTTACAAAATATAGATTTACATTCAAGAGTTATGTATAATCGAAACTAGAAAGTGTCATACAAATTGAACTTTCATTGACATCAAGCATTTACGATATTTCGAGTTAGAACAGTATATCAACAAGTTTTTATATACCACTCTGAAATAATTAAGATATTTAGGATATTTTTAGTTGGAATTGTTTTGGTCCAATACCAAATCAGATGGAACTAGACATTGACAGTAAAAATCACATAAAACAAACATTTGTCAGAGCAGACCTAGCTTAAATCGATCAGTCATCAGACCATCCTTTACAAGAAAATCATGATCCACTTAAAACAACCTTAAAGAGAATCATGACAATAGAAGAAAGTTTTGATTTTCAACCATCCTTCGTGTACACGCAAATTTTATACGACATTTTACACGTCGGCCAAACAGTTTTTTTTTACGTTTTGTGAAGAGAATCATTTTTCACACGGACAAAAAATTTGTCCGTGACACAAACATATTGTCGGTGCAAAAAATGGGCTTATAATTCCCTAAATATGAGTAATTATTTGTATTTGGATAAAAATAGCTAGTTGTAATTCCTGCAACGATAGACGAAAGGTTCATTGGGTGCGATGAATATTGCTAGCGAGGAACGGATGGCTCTGCTACATGTCGGAGGTAAGTTTCTTCTTCTTCATCTTTTTCTTCTGCTCCTATGTTGATTTCTTCTCAATCTCCCTTATTTTTCTTCTTCTACAACTCTTTTATTTTCTTCTTCTTTTGGATTTCCAAATTTTTATTAATTCTGATTGATTTATTTAAAAGATCCATATTATTGTTCTCATCACTTCAATCTAAAAATGTCATAGTTGATGTTTAATCGAACAATGATTCGATAATGTCACTTTTAAGACATTACATTTGCCAAGGTGACAATTGCAAAGAAGAAATGACATTTTCAAAGAGACGAAGAGTAATAATGTCATACTCATGACATTCTAGAAACAAGAATAAAATATTTAAAATATGAAAAAAAAAAGGAGGAGGAGTGACTATCATGTTTTTGAGTAACAATGTCAGTTTCATGACAAAATGTCATCCTGATAAATGCAATGTCATAAAAGTCACATTTTTCTAATTACATGTAATTTATGACATTCTGAGGATCCAAATTAATCAAAGTTATTAAATAAATAAGTAAAATTGAATATAAAGAAAAAGAAAACAGAGGACTCGAAATTGAAGAGGATGAGAAGGAGAAGAAGAAAAGAGAGAGAGAGAAGAGGCGCACAGAGGATAGCATGCGGAGAAATAGGCTGGGTTTAATAAGAGGAAGTGCAAAAAGTATATTCTAGAGTCCTATTTAGAGCTCGTTTGGTGACTACGTTTTTCGCCCTATCAGGCTAACAACCAACTTTTTAGCCAAACATATACTCCGTAACTTTTTATTTCGCTCGTTGAGTTGTGTAATAATAATAAGAAAAAATAAGGTTGAAGTTACTTTTCTAACTGTATTAGTTGAAATTACTGTAGATGACCATTTTAGCTATTTTTTCATATATTTTTTTCTATATTTTATTAATAAAATCTATTTTAAATATAATTTATTCATAAATGAGCAGAATCGGCCAAAACAGTCACTTTAGACAGAACTTCATAAATTTCAACAGAATCAGCCGATTCAACTAGCCAATTCTAGTGTTACCAAACGGCTCTTAGTGAATAAAAACTTGAAGTCCCTTGGAGAGAACATTATATAATGGGAGTGAACAACAACTTAGATCGTTTGAAGTTTAACACAAAGATAACCATATAATGATAACATTAATAAGGTGTACGGTATGTAAAACACGATGTACAATGCTAAACTTTACACCAAAACATTCTTCAAATTAAACCAAAAATAATCTTACCTTTATTCACTTTTATAAGCTTTTAGATAGTCTCAATTCCTCTAATAAGATATATGTCACGTATTTTGAATTGGTTATTTTCTTTCACTCATATACGGGGCAGACACCCTTTGTTCAGGGGTATTCATGTGAACACTCAAAATTTTGAAAATAAAATGTAAAAATTCGAATTGATATAATGATTTATAATATTGTAATTTATATATAATATTGTGTGCACTTAGCCTTTGTTACATTTCTTTAATTGTGGAATAAAACAATATTATTGTGCAATATTATATTTTTACCATGAATTTTTTGAACACCCAACTTTTAGTAGCAAGATTTGCCATTGATTGGTGCCGCTGATATGTATATTTCAAAAGTTGGCCAAATTCATATAGAACTCGTTTGGTAACACTAAAATTGATTTAATTGGCTTATTCTGCTGAAATTTATGAAGTTCTGGCTGAAGTGGCTGTATTGGCTGATTCTGCTGATTCATGAAAAAAAAAATTAAAATATTTGTTATTAATAAATTAAATAAAAAATTATATGAAAAATAGCTAAAATGATCATCTACGATAACTTCTGCCAATACGGTCAGAAAAGTAACTCTAACCTTACTTTTTCTGGTTATTAGAAAATTCAGCGTGCGAAATCAAAAGTTACGTGTTTGGTGAAAAAGCTGGATGATAAGTCTGGTAAGCTGAAAAGGGGATTACCAAACGGGCTCATATATGATAACAATAGAACTTAAAGAAGAGTTCATAAGTTGAGAAATAAATGTTGTTGGATAAAATTTGCAAACTCAAAATGATGAGGGAAATGGTAGAAGCTAAAGGTAGAAGGGCATCAAAGAGAAACGATGTTTTTTTTTTGCAAGTAAGGCGGAAACAATGTTTCTTCATTGATATTGTATTGCCCATTTTGGTCGATAGGTTGCCTTCTACTTTTTTTTTGTAAACTGGTAGTATAGTTTTAAATGCCTTGAACCGATTCCTCAAGTATAAAAAATCTTATTATTCATCATTGTAATCAAAGTGCAAATAATATAGTTTGGGCATATGAAATTATTAGGAATCATGAGAGTATAAGGGTGGTATTTAAGATTTAACTTAATTGACCAATGAAAGCTTGAACATTTTTTGCCAATTTTGAACTGAAGGGCTCAAGTTGTAGCTAGAAATAGACACAAGTGCAACATTTTCCATTTTTGTCTATTCAAGTTTAAAACCTTGTTAGAATTAAATTTTCATGTCGATAAAAAGGCGAACAACTTTATAATCTTATATTTCTACCCAATACTGAGAGGTAAATTCTAATTTTTCCACATTACTATATTGGCGGTCTTTAGCAATCAACTTCTTAGATTAATTGTTTGAAGTTCATTGTTTGGATTAGATGGCCGAGCAATTTTTTTTCGACAGTTTCTGTATAAATAGAAGAATAAATATATTAGGTGCGTGAATGTAAAAAAAGTGTTTTCAAGCAGATTTTCGTTTTTCTAAAAAAGTGGGCTTTTTCAATAATAGCCTTTGAGTTACAGTTTCCGGGTGACATCGTTGCCTAGTCTCGTTGGAGATTCTTTGGTAGGGTTATGACATATTGTTGTTCTATGGTTGTTATTTCCCGTGCATTGGTGCTCCAATATGTTTTGTCTCCCTCGGTGTGGAGAGTGGCTTTGGTATCCCTACCAGCTTCGTGAGTTGGTCGAGGGTTTCTGGCTACCTTCTTTCAACACATATAAGTTGTTTATTACTTCACCTGTTTTTACGTCTATTATCCATGTTTTTACGTCTATTATCCATAACGAAATTGGAAGATGACTTTACTATTCACTCATAGTGAACTAGTTCGTCCTCCTCCGCTCTGTGCCATGGAGAGATTTGTGTAAAGTCTTTATTTCAGTACTACTTTTTCTCTAGCCATACTCATTTATATGTTCCTAGGGATTCAAGGGAACTCACTTCTATTAATATTGAAAGCGAAGTCTTACGATTTTCAAACATTGACCGCTCTCGTATTTGCAATTTTGCATCTTTGGATTCAAAAAGGGAATTCATCGGCAAATCTTATTGGGAACATAAACTGCTCTTTGATTAAAAGTGTCGCTTCTGAGTTTTGGTGGGGGATCTTCACATCCTTGGAAGTTTATGAGGTACAAATCTTCTAAAACTTATTCAGTGAGCTATGATCTTAACTTCTATGGTGGCTTCTTTTGTTTGAACGAGGGAGTGCAAGGATCTCACGATGCTTTTAGCAAGGCATTAATTATTGTGCGGGAAGGTTGGCATACTGCAAGATTGGTCAGTTTTACAGAGTTTTTCAGGAATGTTTGGACATTTATCTTTGGAAGAAGGAGCATTTACATTCGTAGTTGGTTGACATTGAGATTAACCCTAGGGATTCTCACACTCTTGAGCATCACGATTCTTAATTTGAGAATTTATTTCAGTCAGATTCGCAAGCTTTCATGGAGAATATATACTATGGACTTAGATAAGGATTTAACTATATGTGGGAAATAAAGTTCAATAAGAGAGTTTTGCGTGTTGTTAAGGATAAAAACGTCTTTAGAGAAACAACCCTCCGGTATGAAGACACATATGGACTATAGACTCAATCAACGGACGAGATTCCAAGTCTTATCAGATTCGAGCATTTGCACATTCAAAAATCAAAATATCAAAAGAAGAAATTGAAGTTGTACATTTTTCAACACGATTATCCGATCAAGAAACTTATAGATCACTCCTAAAACCGTAAAGATTCCAAATAAGAGTGCAAGACTAGCTAAAAAATATGAAGACTTCTTTTCATTTGCTTTTATATTCTAACTTAAGGGTATGTTTGGCACAACTAACTCAAAAGATATTTTTATGAACTTTTCAGTGACTGTTAGCTTTTAATGACTGAAAAGATCTTAAAAGAAAAATGCAGTAATTGTTTGATAAAAAGCTGACTGTTTGGTTTAACTCCGTTTGGTATACAAGTTGTCGGGATTAATTAATGCTAGAAGCTACAGACTTATCTGAGATGCTACTCACTGTAGCATCTCAAAAAAGATCTTTTATTTTTATAGAAGCTCTTAATAATTTGCATGTCAAACACCCAATTAAAAGCTTTTAAGAACTTTTTAAATAGTACAAAAGCTAGAAGACACTAACTTTTGCATGCCAAACATAGCCTAAGTTTCACCTCTCATTAGCGGTTACTTCTTATTAGGTTTGTACTTTCCTTTATTTCTTCTGTTAAAAAATTTCTTTTCCGCAAAAAAACATATATCTCGTAATAAGAATATTCATTATATTGAAACATCCCACATTAATGAAAAAAATACTAAGAATATTATATTACATACATAAATATTAGGGAGTATAATATTATTATTAAAAAATTAAAAATGATAATAAGTAGGGTTAAGGTTCAATATATGTGTATTAATCATGGGGTTATAATGGGGTTCGAAGACTCGGCCGGTAAGATACCGGTGCAGCGGTTTTTTTAGAAATTTTAAAATATATAGAAGGAAAAAAGGAGCAAAGAAGCCACAATGAAATATCAGAGCCAGGTTTCGATCCTGGGACCTGTGGGTTATGGGCCCACCACGCTTCCGCTGCGCCACTCTGATTTGTTGAGAAATCATGGGCTATTGTGCTATATGATTATAACAAAGATATAAAAGCGATTAGAATTCAGCACAATCACTTCGCTTTCGTCTTTAACAGATTTCCTGCGTCTTTAGTAGTATCGTCATGACGTCATGGTATGAACTGTTAATATGTCGAGTAGGCTTGGACCCGGTTCGGAACCCGGTGGCAACCCGGGCCGGTCCTGAGCCTTCCCCCAACCACAAAAGGTCCGGTCCGGGCCTGATGTCGAGTGAAGAGAATGATAAAAGTGGCGTTTCATACGCCGTACAAAACTTCTAAAGAACTTTTACAAAAAATCGTACTTGTATTATGTAATAAGTTAAGTTTACATAGAAAATAACTTCTGTTTTACTAACAACATTTTTTATCACACAGAAATATAATCTCATAAATTAATTAAATCTCATACGGAACGTATGAACAAAAATCTTGTCTATCGGTCTATGCAACCAAAAAAACCTTGTTGTACAAATTAGTTATACTTGTACATATTGTATATTTTTAATTAAGAAGTGTTGGAGACGGTATAAAAAACTTAACTGTACATTTCTTGCCGATACAAAATGGAAAATATAATGGATGGATCAAGAAAAAATTCACACATTAAACAACTGAAATTCTAGGGCAAAAGCGAACACTCCCTCACAGAGCTGCTTGTTTATGTAGGATTGTAGGGTTTAGTTTTTTCACCGCATAAGCGTGCGCCATGATTTCCCTTGCCATGAGGATGAAGACACTTATTTCTTGCCTTTAGATTCTTGATCAATAACTAATATGCATGTCGTGCAACAGTGACCAGGCGAAGATCTACATAACAATCTTCCTTGAGTTTGGAGCAAGGCTTGTAGCCATGACGGTGCCTGCAACGACGGTCGCTTCACTTCTGGTATCATCGATCGTGACTACAACAACGTCTTTTTTGGTCTTCGATCTTTTGGTCGTTTGGAGGAAGAAGATGAAGTCTTGATGATCCGGCCTCCTCCTCAGCCGCTATTATGGAGTGAATGAGTGACTAGAGTTTGCTTTAGTTTTACTTCAAGTTTTATTCTTATTTCGTTAGAATATTTTACCTTATTTTCGGATTGTGTGTTAGTGACATTCTTGAGCTATCTAGTTTAGTTATGATCGGAAGGATTGAGATCTCTATAATCATTAATTGCTTCGTAGCTCCCATTAAGATTGATTCATCTTTTGTTTTCAATCTCGTTACAATTGTCTCATATCAAATTTTCAATCTCGTTACAATTGTCTCATATCAAAAGACAAAATATATGTGATTCCAAATAATTTTTATTTTATTCTTACGATACTGATTCGATATCAACATGTGAATCCATTGTTTTTATTAATCACCGCATTTCCTATAAGTTAATGTAAGTAGGAAGTAACAAGTCAATCAATTTGGTAGCATTCCAAGTGTCCAATTATAATCATAAGTACCAAGTAGACAAAGAAGATAATGAAGGGAATGTTCATGCAGTTTGGCGCGAATGGCAGGGGCGAAAAGAATTAAAGAACCCCAATCCCTCCATAGTGCTATAGGGAGTCGAGCCGGTCAGATTGGCGTGCCTATTGCGCGACATGAGTAGAGAGAGATATCCATTGGAGGAAGCAAAAAAAAAAAAAAATCTAAGGCACCCACTCAACTTTATTTTTCGGACTAACAAAATGATTTGCTGGTGAAATATAGTACCGAGTATTGTTTTGTCACTAAGATTTTGTCAAGACATAATTAATAATTATGAGTTTAAGTTTTGTTTAGAGGAGAAAGAATTGATTAGACCCACAAACTCATTATCTAAAATGGAAAGTGATAAAGTTAGTGTGACAATTTTTTTTGATCATAAAGTTAGTGTGACAATTAAAAAGGGAAAGTTGACAAAGTTTTAAAGTACAAGAATACATTCCACAGGCGGTTTAGTAATTTTAATTTTTGGATTACCCGTGTTATTATTTAATTTTTTATTAAACAAGTAACTTTTGATTTTACGTGTTGAATTTTGTATTACTCCACACTAAGGGGACCGTTTGTTAAGGTGTAAAGTAATCATTTTACATGCAAAGTGTAGGGATGTAAACAATTTACAATGTTTGGTACGATTATTTAATGTAAACTGTAGGGTTGTATTTTAAAACATTTTACACTGTACCATGTAAACTACTTTACCTGGGGGAGGGTGGTAAAGTATTTTACATTCTCAATACTGCGTATAAAATTGATTAATTAAAACCTTACAACGTCTCCTGCTTTTTCGCGCCGGACTTTGCCTGCATCTCTCATCTTACCCACAGATTTTTCTCAATCGCAGCACCACATGTTCTTCTACTTTCCACCAAAATAGGGAAAACTATCAAATAAGTCTCCGTACTATGTCGAAAAAGTTGATTAGGCCCTCGTACTTTACAAACACTCAATTAAGTCCTTGAACTATTAAAAAACGTTCAATAAAGTCCTTTTGTTCGGTAAGTAACCGGTTTCCCGGTTAAATGGCGATGACGGCGATGACGTGCTCAAACCCCAGCAACGGCGGCTGCCGAGAAACGGGTTACATTTAACCGGCAAACCGGTTACTTACCGACCGAAAGGGCTTAATTAAACGTTTTTTAATAGTTCGAGGACTTAATTGAGTGTTTGTAAAGTACGAAGGCCTAATCGACTTTTTCAGTATAGTACGGAGACTTATTTGATAGTTTTCCCATCAAAATAATTTAGAGATCAATTAACATAGTTTCCATTTGTTGGATAATATACCTCCCATACGGACGAATTGATTAGGGAGTTTTTTTAATTAAATTTTATGAGTTTTATTGATAACTTTTATCAAATATAAAGTAATTACCATGCTCTTTCCTGACATCCCTCGAGCCCCATCAACATAAATGGCTCTTTGATTCCGAATTCTACTAAACATAAATGGCTTTGTGGCCTCTTTATTACCTCCTAGCAGTCTAGCACCACATTCCTATTTTTTTTTTCCAAAACTAACCATACAGATCAATCAAATCTGATTATTAACGAAAATGACAGGGAAGTCTCTCGCTTCTCTCTAGGGCTTCGGCCGCTTGGAGTTTTTTTCCGTCTTCGATTTTAATCAAAGGACGGCCGCTTTTTCTGTCTTCGATTTTAGTCGAAGGACGACCGCTATTTCCGTCTTCGATTTTAATCGAAGGACGGTTGCTGTTGTTTGTGTTTCATACTCAAAGGGTGGATTTGCTGTCATGGCTCGAGAAGATCGGCGTTGTGGTCAAGGTTCGAGGATGATGTATTGCTGTCGTCGTTGGAGAAGATCGGCGCCGCCTATCCGATTACTCTGGTTGCATGAAGCAGGGATGAGTTTGGTTATGCAGGGACAGGGGATTGATGCTTGGCCTTTGGTAGGCAAATGTCACGAAGTATCAATTAGCATGGTACCGGTGGTAAGACCTCCTCCTGAACCACCATCATGGGATGTATGAGGTGTTAGAGTTCGTGAACGCTTTTCTTATGTCATTGGGTATTGTTGGATCTATGGGAATAGGTTTGGCTGTGTCAAGCCCACTACATGGTTAGCGATTCGTGTTGCTCTCTCAGGAGTGACCGTCTCAAAGTCTCACCATAGGGTTACAGTCGTAGTTGTTGAAGTTTCAGTTGGTGTCAGTTTTATTTTCCTTTTACTTGATGTAATGATATGATCATGAATCTTTTGATATGAATAGAGGTTGTTTTGATGATAAAAAAATATATAAAGTAATTACACATCACAGGTAGAAACCGTAGAACCTTAGTACATCACACGTGTTTGAAAAATTACAAATACTATTTTCTTGGGTTTATTAGCATACGATGACATGTTAAAAGAGACATGTTAGTTTTTTTTTTACTTTACTTGTGAACTTGAGTCAAAAATTGCAATTATTTTACATGTATTTTAAAAATAGATTCCATATCTCACCAAACAATGTATTTGTATTTTACGTGTAAAATGATTACATCCCTACACATTACATGCAATCAGTTTACATATAAAGTTTTAAT